AAAAAAAAAAAGATATACATATATATATGTAAAACCTATTATATATACTGTGCTACTATACTATATATGGATAAAACAGAGTGGCCATATTTTTAAATTCTTTATCGATTGATTATTGATTCTTTATGATAAATAATTGATACCATATTATATCGCATTTTAGAATGTGGAAATTATTACTTCAAATTTGAGTAATAAGAGGAAAAAATCTGAAGTATGTCTTAATTTATCACATTATGCCTACACACACATTTATCATATAAAACTAATTTATCGTTGTAACATGTGTGTCGTAATCAGAGACCTGGGAAAAATGTATTTTAATTATTATTTTGAAATACATGTAAAACCTACATTGTATTACTAAATATACATTGTACTTAAAGTACAATGTATTTAGCGTTTTTAAAATAAAGTCTATTTTAATTACAATGTATTTAAAATACTTACAGAAAACGTTTTAAATACAAAACACATTCAGTATTTTGTATTTAAAACACAACAAAATAATCACGTCTAATGTACCTAGAAGCACTTTACGACGGTTTTCTATAAAAAAATTTATAATTTGCTTTATAAAATGTTTTTATTTTATTATTATTATTATTTTTTGTTAGGAAAGCAGGTATGAAAAAAAGGGTATAATAGATGTAGTTTTAAAACAATCGATTGAGAAAAAATGATTTTTTAAATGAAAAGAAGTAGTAATTGACCAATAAACTAATAAATAGCCTACATATGTATTAATTTCAAACCAAACCTTTTGGCGATTTGCATTTGTATAGTACCCATTCCTCGAAGAATCGATCATCCAACAAATTCATTCTGGGAGCATCCAATGCATTAGACAATTACTTTACAGTTTTATTCCCAAAGCTAATTGCACTAAAAATTTAGCAACCTTTAAATAATTGCAAGCTTAATTGTCATGGACAAATTCTTGTACGAACAATTAGCCTTGTTACGTAACTTAAAGGCGCCTTCTCAATTTACCAGTGTATTTTGTGTATTTAAAATATAAAATAAAATAAATTTTATGTATTTTGTATTTTAGTAATAAAATAAACATACATTTAAATGTATTTTATATCTTACTTCTTAAATACAAATTACCAAATACATATTTTATTTTTCATTTTAAAATACTTTATTTGAAATACTGCCCAATTCTCCAATTCTGGTCGGGATATCTATCAACCGCAATTGTTCACCTAGCGTTTTCTAAAATGGCTTTAAAAAATATTTCATTCATACCAAAGATGAAGATTAGAAATTGTTAATTCTTTTTTTTTCTTGTATCCGGCAGGCGAGACAAGTATACTATCCTGCATAACAGCACTACCTTAGACAGGACACGTGCAGGGCAGATTACAGTTTAAAATAATCTAATTATTACTTACATTACTTTTTACATTTCAAGTCTTATCTTCATATATTATTATTGTATCTCGTAAGTACCTAAACATCTTTTTAAAAATATTCCATACTTTTTTGCTCATTATTATATTTGTTATTGATTACAATTAGATTTAATTTTTTTTTTGTGTGTCTTTAATCATTCATTTGCACTTGTCAGCACTGCTGTATTACGACAATCAGTAAATAAGGCTACACACGCTAAATGATATGCCAGGTGAGGGGAAGGAATACCCTTTCTCACCTTTTCGGCTATACGGGGAATTTACTGGGTCAAGGATGAGGCTGAAGGATTAATGTCAGAGTTAAAAGTTCCCTTCGGTACTGATATTAGGATTTAAACTCATAGACTTCTGTTTATCAGGTTGTCGGGCAACGCATGTTTTACACGAGCGTTACCCGCGCCGTCACCTCACTTCCTCTCTCTCCCCAATACGTATATGTATTAATTCTCTGTCTGAGTTTGAGTTTTGAAGTTTTGCAAAAATGTAGGTAAAGTAGTTCGAGTCGATATTTAAGATTTTTCCGTTTCATGGAAAATTAATCAACTGATTGACTGGTAAGGGTTGTTTCATATTTTACCGGATTTAAATATAATGTTTGATTATAATATTATTCTCTATACTAAATAATTATAAAAAAGACCTTTATACTGTACTTTTTTTAATGAAAATATATTATTTAGTTTTCAGACTTTTAATTGTGTTGTTGGCTATAGCTGGTATCTTCTGATATATACATATTTTTTCTCGTCGATCCAAGACTTCCATTAAGGTCCTATATTGATATATTATAAACGAATGGAGATATGGATGTAAATTATTACTATTTACTTTTAATAATCTATTTTAGATTCTTCCATAAATTTGCACAATGACTGAATGTTACCCTTATCTAGATCTACCAGCCCTTTGAGGAAATCGCTATTGTTTTGGATGAGGGGTATTTATTCCGGTATTTATCGTATTTGCTACAGTTTACAATGGGTTCTCGATGGAGTTATATGTCGAACATTTATCTTTTTTTTTTCAACTTTAATTAGTGTTAAGTCGCGATTTGTACGACCATGTTTAATTCTCAAAGTTGTAATAAGAATTATTATTAAGTAAGACTATTTATTTCCTGTTTAACTTAACACAAGTGTTGGAGAACCATGGGCGTAGTGAGACGTTAGGTTGGATAATGGAATGATCAGTACCTTTCGAACTTGCCTCCCAGGCATACCTATACTGTCATTAACCAATAAATTCTTTTTTAACCTATCTACAAATTTTTTGTAAAGGTTATTCGTATTTTTCGCTCTTCAAGAACATCGTTTTTCTATCATATCAGCTCGTTCATTCCCATAAAATCCTACATGGCCCATTAAACCTGAAATTTCTTACTTCTGAGAGTTCCTTTTTACGTAAAAGTTAGTTATAGATACGTGAGAAACATTTTTTGATTGGTCTGACTTGATATGATCAGCAGTTTTTGTAGTTTCAGTCTAGTGGGAGAACAATTTATCCGAGAAGGATGAGAGGGATTTGATTGAAAATTCATGTAGAAATGGATATCATATATCAAAAAGTGAGTAAATTAATATAAAATATACTTTTTAAGGCATAATTAGAAAGTTATGAAGACAACAGTTATTTAATCTATTAACATTATTGGCAGTTAAACAGAATATCGTAGCAATATATCAAATGTCGACAACTGATGAGACAGATGAGGCGATGGGAGGTTGAGAAAGGCAACTGGTGAGCTGACTGATGAGTCAGGGCACGCGACACCTGGCAGCATATGGTCCAGGCCTAATGCTCGCCCCGTGACTAGCCTTCGAGGTAGATTGCTTTTCGGCAAGTGTTCTTCTGTCTCTTCCTCCGTATTAATTACAGAATCGCTGTGTAACCGCATCCAGGAAGTACGGCTAGCCGGGGTACGTGCCCCTATAGTAACAGTTGCTCCAGTCTATTAATGGTCAGAGTCTGCCGATTGTCGAAAGAAGTCTGTAGGTACAGGCGGCTTAACGAAATTCTCTACCCCTATCGCCCAAATGGTGGATGCCCGGACAATAGGTGTACTCGGGTAGTGAGGTTGTGGACTTGGCCTAGAAACGAGGAACGAAGATTCGGGACAATCTGCTAACATTGCTTCAGAACTTATAAAAGGAATGTAATCGAAATGCATGCCAATAACAAATCCGTGTCAGTTGTGAAACAAATAAGACGAATAATTAAAGATTGCGTTATTTCTTTTTAACATCCTGCCATTAGGTCAAATTTAAATTATAAGCAAATGAAAGAAGGTCAAGATCAAGAACTAATAAATCAAGTTCATTACATTCCAAATAATAGGGGGATTCATGAATAGGGGGTAAATAAGAGGGATATATCTTTAAAAAATATGACCCATAGGCAAAGTATGAAGAAGAAATAAACATTTTTGGAAAAAGATCGAGGGTATGAACTAATAGATTATTTATTGTTTGAAGGCAGCTTTGCAGAGCTACTGTTTTTTTATTATTTTCGTTTGGCGCTAATTACTATGAAGATTTTTGGTCTCCTTACAGACTTATATTTTCAAGTCACTCAGTCTCACGTTTCTACGGACCATGGTCTCCATTCCATGAGTATAATCAAATTTTAACTTTAACGACTGATAAAATGAACAAAACACATCTTTACCAGATAACATTAAGTAAACAAATAGTATTAATCAAACAGTCTTGACAAACATGGATCGTAAACTGGCAATCGAAACATCAAATCTATGAAATGATTCATTAAAATAAAATAATTCTTTTTTCTAATCCCAACCCCACGATAAGTAACCATATTTATTGTGGTAAATGAATACCAAGGTTGAAACCAGTGATAACTATGATTTTCAGAAAACATCAGCGTTGCGAATGATTTAATGAGAGCTGCTAGATTGGTAGCAACTGTAGTCAATCGATGATTGAAAAATGATGGCTTTAGTGGTACTTCAGTGGTGCTACCTTCACTGATTCCTGATTATCTATAATACTTTTATAATAATGGAAAAAAAAGTAAATTAATCATGTAATATTATTATCTATTAATATATTAAAAGAGCATGAATTTAAATATTAGAAGCTTTTCAGGCTATTTATGTGGAAAGTACAAGGTCATAATCCTTTAATTATAATAATATAAGAAAAACGATTCTTGTCATACAAGTTATAATATTAATTAACTACAGTAGTTTTAATCAACTTAATAATTAAATATTAACGCTATTATCAATATAATTAAAGTTTGAAGAATTAAAATTATTCGTGTTCTAAAAAGAATTTTTAATCATGTCAGAATTAATGACAAGCTACATAACGATGACATTACACTCCTAACAATCAAGACCATTTTAGTGAGTTTGTCATTGGCTGGAAAATAACTACGTCTATTTCATCATAATGAAATTAAAACTCATATTTTTTTATATCATTTTTAGAAATTAATTAGTCACTAATTATTCATCTTTAGAAACGTACGAGAAGTAATGATTATTAATGTGGACCGAGGAAATTTTCATAATGAAAACATAGGAGCATATTAAAAAAAATTTAAAAATTCATTTGGCTAATATCGTTTATTGTTAACAATCAACATAATGGCTTCATTGCAATATCCAGTAATCTTTTATATGTATTATTCTTCTGTAGATGAACCACAAAGACTTAAATTCGTCTCACGCCATTTACCTGAAAATTCCGTTTGATTTATTTTATTAACATGTTTTTTTTATACATACAGCATGCCTCATTGCTATTTCATAAAATATAAATTACATAGAGAAAAAATTCAAAATCGATACAGTGCTTACCTTGCATAGTTTAATAAGTTTATAACTTTAAATTTTGACATTCTATTATTAGTATTTTTTTACTAAACCTTTACTTTTGAAATAAAAAATACCTTTTGAATCGAATATTTGGAATGTACTGAATAAATATATTAATGACTCTGCTAGGAATTTAAATCAGACATATTAGTTTAAATCTTTCCCATTTCTCCTTATGAGGCTCATATGTTACAGCCAATTTATCAACTATGTCCAGCTAGAAAATATTTAAATTTTTAGTGGATTCCATGCATATCTTGCCTCTTCTAGGTTTCATGTTTCCTTGAATCATGTCATTATAAGACGTAGAATGTTAATTAATGTTTTCAATTATGGACACCTGCTTTTACCTAAAAAGTACTAACAAAATTTTATATAATTACAAAAAAGGTAATGGCTTAAGCAATACAGAATGTCGTAGGATCTGCCCATATTCGATGGTTGCCGAAAATCCATAGCTTGTCCCACATTCAATTAAGATATTATAAATCAGACAACGGTAAGAGAAATATCATTGGTTGTAGATCCTTTCATTATGTTTTTGTCTTTCAAGCTGGATTCCTTTATTAATTTGACCAAAGTTTCTGTTGTCTTCTGTTATCCTCCCACACTCTACTGCACCAAATATTTTGTATAGAAGAGACGAAGAAGAAGAAAAAGTCATTTTATTAATCAAAATTACATGATATTAATTACAAAAAAAAATTTATTTTTTATTTAAACCGAAAATCAGACGTACTACATGGTCTGTTGACCGTCAGAGGAGACTGTGTTTCATAAAAAAATTAAATGTCAATCTATTTATACATAAGTAATTAATAAGAACAAATATATTTTCTATGCAAAAGTTATAAAAATCTTTTAATTACAAAAGGAGTGGTACCTATATTCTCCAATTTATTAATTGTTAAATTTTCTGATGAGCATATTATTCTGATATTTATAAATTTAAAAAAAAGGATAAAAATACAAAAAATAGAAGAATTAATAGAATAAAACAAATAAATAAGGATAATAATAGACACTTATAGATAATAAGATAGAATATATAAATAACTAAACTAAAAAAATAGCAATAAACGAATTGAAAATCAGTAGGAGAAAGCAGACTTGCAGTAATTTACCAAATCTATCTATTTTTGGCCATTTATTAAATCTATCATTTGTTCCCGAGATAAATTTCTAGATTTTAACCACTTAATTCTAAATTCAGAGAGTACCGGACAAGCAGCGAGTATGTGATAGATATCTTCTGTTTCGTTTGTATTACACATGCTACAAATATAATAAATATTTTCATCAGGGAAAATCCCTGATATATTTACCTATTTCTTAGTTTTTAAAAATAATTTTACTGATTTTATTCTCATATCTGCCAAAGTATCTCAGCAGCTTTTTCAAATTGCCAAACTTGTTACATATAAAAGATTCAAAATATTTAATTTCCTTTATATAAACAATAACGTCTAAATTATGCCTAAATGCATTGCAAGCGAGTTACTGAGGAAAAAAGTAAGTTTTCATGGCGGTTTTCCAATATCGAGAAAAATACACAAGAGATACGGATTACGGATCAAATTAGCACATTGAAATTTTTTAATTGTTGTTTTCTAACATAAGTTGCTAAAAGCTAGTGGAGAGGGAAAGTAATTAAATCAATATGTTATTTCATTTGAATTAAGTATCAATATATTTGTACTTACTAAGAAAACTGTTATATGAGTGGGTCCGTTTCAAAGAGGGACATTTTTTATATAAAGCCATTCATATGTTTTAAGAATTTTTAGGGGTGTTTAACATATTATTATTGATTCTGCCAACGTTTTGCTGATAACCATGCATCCTTATACTGAAGTATAACTTCATTGCTAGTTACCTCGCAGTTATTTTTAAACTACCATTTCATTTTGTAGCGAATATCCGATGTTAACTTTGCATTCCCAGTTACCGATAATAGTTACAAGGCGATGAGATACTTTTTAACAGCTTACTTATTAGATGATATAGGATCAGTTTTAATTTTTTTAAATATATTTTATTAGAACGACAGTGAAAAACTTTTATCTTACAATTATAATTAAAAAAAAATCTACAATGTGAAAAATAACTGTTTTTCATTTGAAAAAAAAATAACAGCCATTTATAATTGTCATTCAAAGTAATGAATAATTATATTTATTTTAATTATATTTACCATTATGGCATTCGTTTTCGGATTCCATTACGCATCGATTTGAAAATCTTTTGTATTCCGTTCCACCATTTCCATCGGGCTGCTCTGCACAAACTAGACTATACATCTTGTTGCAAACTTTTCCACATCGTGTGGTTGTCTGTGAAACAACAAGACCAGCAAAGCCTAAAATGATGTTTCAGAAGTTTTAATCATTAAATCATTTTACTTATTTTATTTTTTTTTTTTTTTTTATTTATTGATGATATTTACAACTGTATTACAAGTAAAAATACATTCAGTAAATGTGTACAATAGAATATAATAGCATGAAATCATTTGTTGAGAAACTACCCACTGGTAGCACTCTAAAAATGTATTTACAAAAGGAGATCTCGAGGCTATCTTCTTTTCAGACGCCTCGGAGGGTTGTCAGGTATCGAAAAGGAAGCAAGGTTAGAAACGAGAGGGTTAGGATGGTTCTGAAGTTTATTATGGAAGGAAAGGTATCTGGATTGGGCCAGGTCAGAAACATAAGGAACATTAAGGTCGTTATGGATGATTTTGTTTGTGACAAAGTAAGGAGCTGTGAGAATTTTACGAAGGATTTTGGATTGTAAGGATTGGATGCGAGAGGAATTCGATGGCTTAGTGGAGCCCCGGAGCTCAATTCCGTAAGTCCAAATAGGTCTTATTGTAGTCATGTATATGAGTCTTTTGTAATTGATTGAAAGCTTAGAGCGTTTGTCTAGTAAGTGCTGGAGTAGTCGGAACGTCGAGCTGTTTCTTGTCGTTTCAGTCTGGTATGAATATTCCAAGTTAGACGTTTGTCTAAGTGGAGTCCAAGGTATCGAATTTGTTCAACAGGGATAAGTGGGGTATTATTAAAGGATACTATAGGACAAGAGGACATAGGTTTACGACGAAGGGTAAAGGTGATTTGATGGGATTTATTGGAATTTATTTTGATCCTCCAGTTTTGAAACCATTCTTCAAGGTTTGTGATGTGTGATTGAAGGGTTTGGGATGCAATTGTTGGGTCGTTATTAATTGATAGGACACATGTATCATCGGCATACGTGGTAATAACAGTGTTAGGATGGGTTGGGATATCAGCTGTATAAACTGTGTAAAGGTAGGACCTAGGATACTACCTTGAGGAACACCAGCGGACTGGGAAAAAAGGGATGAATAGCATTATTATGATTTACTTTGAAGGATCTATCAGTTAGATAGGAACGGATAATGAGGAAGTATGTAGGGTGTAGGAATTTACGGAGTTTGTAAAGCAGTTCTGGGTGCCAGACTCGATCAAAAGCCTGTTCTACATCGAGAAAGACTCTCGTGCAGTACATTCCGCGCTCCAATGCAGAGGAGACAACATCCACCACACGATGGCATTGCTGGATAGTGGAATGGGATCTGCGGAATCCAAATTGATGATCTGGGATAATGTGATTAGAATCTAGGATGGGGTGCAGGCGTTTTAGGATGAGCTTTTCCAGGATTTTGCCTAGGATGGGTAAAAGGGAGATAGGGCGATAAGAGGATGGGTTTTCTGGTGGCTTTTTGGGTTTATGTATCATTTTGATAATAGATAATTTCCAAGGGTTAGGAAAGTATGTGGTTCGCAGAACAGCATTATATATATACTTAAGGAATAGGATGGCTTTCCGAGGAAGCAGTTTTAGGATCTGGGATGTAATTAGGTCGTGTCCAGGAGCTTTTCGGGAAGGTAACCTTTGAATGATGTCGGATATTTCTGAAGGATGAAAGGCTTTAGGTGGAAGAGACATTTGGAGTGGGATATCCAGTTCTGCTTCAATACATTCAAGGTGATTTGGGTTAAGAATATCAGGGATTAAAGGTGTTAAAGAGGTGATGAGCAAAGATTTGTGATTTTTCTTCATCGGATTTGGACCAGGTTTGAGCTTCAGTAAAAGTGGATGATTACAGTCTTTAAATTTCAGGAGCCTTTTAGTGGTCGTCCATAGTGATTTGTCGGTAGGTGTAAGTTTTTCAGTAAAGTTTAGTAAATTTTGAATTTTGTATTTTCTAATTTCAGATTTTAGTTTGTTAGTCAGTTGGGTATAGTGAGTTTTATCTATGCCACTTCGATCTTGCTCTGCGTTTTTCCTTCAATAAGATACGAATATGCTGTGGCAAGTCAGTCTTTTGTGAATTGTTGAACTTATTGATAAAAGTGTTATTTATACTGTCTGTTATTGATGCTGTCAATTTTTCAATGGCACCATTAATGTCCTCTTTTGTCTTTAGCGGAATTTTTAAGTCTAGTTTGTTTTCCAAATCATCACGAAATTGGTCCCAATTCACTCGTCCTGTGATCAATTTAGGAGGTGATGGTTTAGGAGCATAGCTCGAATGTAGTGAAAGTAGAACTGGACTATGGTCTGAAGAAAGGTTATCAAGGGATTTGATTATGGTTTGTGAGGAGGAGATCTGAGAAGTTATAAATATATCTAGGATATCGGGACGTTTTTTGAGGGATGTTGGCCAATAAGTAGGACTCATGGGCGAAAGGATTGAATAATTGTTGGAAGATGAAACACGTGATAGGACGTTACCGCGGAGGTTGGATGTTCGACAACCCCATCGTTGGTGTTTAGCATTGTAGTCTCCTCCAACAACGAAGCGCGATCCGAGGGATTTGAATAAGGAATCAAGGAGGTTATAGGAGAGGGAATTACCAGAAGGACAGTATACAGCTGAGAAAGTGAGATGGAAAGGGCGAGTTGAAAGGACTACGGAAGTTGATTGAATGGCATCAGTTGTAGTGGAAGGAATAAGGGAATGGGGTACTGATTTATGTATAAGGATGCAAGAACCGGCATGGGAGGGTGATCAGTTCTATAAGTGAAGTAGTCACGTATGTAGAAATGTATTCGTTTACTGAAGTGAGTTTCAGTCAATAGAGCAATGTCAATGTGATTATTATGAAGAAATAAGTCAAGTTCGTCACGGTGGTTACTTAGTCCGTTAGCATTCCATAAAAGAATAGTTAGGGGCTTTGTGCTCATCGTTGGAAATTGAACGGAATTTCGGTCAGGATTCTGGTGAGAAGAGTGATAAGTGGTTTTATAGTATTTTGCAGGTCCAATAGGAAGGATGATAGAATGGAGGCTAGGTCGGATGGATGTTGATTGTGAATTGGATTCAGGATAGGTTCTTGTGGGGGATTAGGAGTGTTAGCTGAGGGCGGGATCCGTCGTTGTGCACGAGGTGGGTCTAGATTGGAAGGTACTTGTGCTGCACTTTTTTTCTGGGCGTTAGGATGGGACTGTTGAGGATGCTGTGGTGGTAATTTGACTCGTAAGGGTATATGATGAGGGAGAATTTGCTGACGTGGAGGATGAGATTGGGGATTGTGAGATTGAGGTTTGTATTGGGAGATTTGAGGCGCCTGAATTTGAGGCGTACATTGTACATTGTGTATTTTGAGTAGACATTTTTGGCAATTCAGGAAAATTTGACAGATTATCAATTTCAGGTAGATGGGTGACACTTTCTTGGTTCAGTTTTACGCTTTTCGAGGCAATGTTCTGAGCTCTCTGCTTATAAAAATGTTTATAAACTTTGCATCCTCTGTAGTTTGCTGGATGTTCTTCACCACAAAGGGCACATTTCGCAGGCAGGTCTCGAGGTCTCTGACAAGTGTCAGATGCGTGGGGGCTGGCACATTTCACGCACCTGGCCTGGTGATGGCAATAATTATTTGTATGCCCCAAGTCTTGGCACTTAGTGCATTGCACTATTATAGGCTTTTGTCTAGGCTCTTCAAATTTAATGGTGGAATATATAAGCCTCTTCACTTGAAAAATTTCGATGTTATTGCTGGCAGGCTCTAAATCGACGAAAAATAGTGGTAAAGGATATTTTTCCGTTGGGTGTAGTACGCATGATATGTGCCTAACATTATGACCTATTTCTTCTAAGCCACTTTTGATGAAAGATATTGGGGTGCTTGAGTGTAGTCCTCTTAACACCACTCGGTATGGCTTTTCTTGTCTTAATTGATAACAATGAAAATCATATTTTTTGGACGTAAAGTAATCATTAACTCTGGAGAAACAGCGGAAATCGGTCTGTCCAATCAGACCGGCAATTTCTTGACCAAATGTAATGAAGCTATCGACTTTTGATATGAAAATAGGTGGCCTCTCGGGCTCAGAAAACTCTTGAGGCTCCGGAATCTTGCTTGATATTTTATTAACGGAAACAGGATTATTGGTGTTAGTGGTGGTTGGTGCAGTTGGCTCTGATGTTATGGTAATTGGTTTGCTTCTGGTTTGAGGTGGTGATAATATATATTTTGCTCGGCTGATTGTTTAGTTTTAGTAGATTTACTTTGTTCAGTTGACTTTTTAGATTTATTTTGCTCTGCTAACTGTTCAGGTTCAGCTGATTTATTTTTTTTCTTATTGGGTGAATTAGCTCCCGACCCAGGAGGAGTGTTTCGATGACGTTTTTGAAGTGTTCGTCTTTTTAAATACTGCGAATCTGTTTCGCTAACCTCAGAAAACGGCGTTTCGTCCTCCGAATCTTCACCTGACGAACTCTTATCTAAATTCATATCTTCCATATTATGATAAAAGAGAGAAAAAAAAATATATTTACTCCTAAATATGATAATTAAAAAGATTGAAGATTACGAAATAAACTATTAAAAAAATAAACTATATACATAACTATAATCAGAAATAAAATAAAACATTTCTTAGAATAAATATTTAAATAAAAATAAAACAGTCTCTGGAAAAGAACAGAAAAAAAAGAAAGAAAAAAAAAAAAAAAGAAAACGTAAATATAATGTCTTGGGTTCAAACTGAAGACCTGATGACTGAAGGAAGTTAGTAAACAGAGCCCCTGGCCGTGAGCTTATCGGAGTATGATAAGGCACGTAAGAGAATTAACGGCCTCTCGATCTAACCAAATGAGCACCAATTTATCAATTGTTTATTGTTAATAAATAGTACCTCACCTGCGTGTACGTAAACGTAAAAGTGTAAAACTGTTTATTAACTCACTGTTGATTAAGTATTACACCACAACTTTGAATTTTGAGCACATTACTAAGCAGCAAATACAGAGCGACATGAAAGTTATACTGCACTTGCGGCCATGACACTTGCTACTTCATTTTAATTTTTAAATTATAACTTTGCACA